GTTTTAGCGTTCGTGTCTTTAGTGCGTGCTGAGAACTGTACACTAGTGTGTACAATACTAATTAATCAATTTATTATTGTCATGTACTGTCACTTATTGGGAATGCGCATTATATATAATTCGAGTGTGGTCTCCATCGCAGGTGTGACTGTGGCCTGTGGGGTGTGGTGATAATCAATTACAATAAAGTAGCGTTTGCTCTTGACATTTTCAGTATGGAGATGAATCAGACGTGTCCCAATTACTTGGCTTTTAATTTGCTTTTTATTAAAATATATCTTTAAGACATAGGTACATGACAAAACAAAAATATTTTGATCGAAAAGCAAAATGTTCAGATAATTTGGGAGAGACGCTATCTGATGCGTCTCTCATATGACCACGTTTGCTGTAAAGCATTCGAAACGTCGGCAATAAAAAAAACAATATAAAACCGTTACAAAATACGAATGAAACCGCGAAAAAATATCAAATATTCGTATAATCTATGAATCTATTAGATTGAGATAAGATATTTATTTACACAACATTATTTCATCCTTTAAGTCAATTTATTACTCGTGAAGATGTCACGTACGGCGTAACTCACTAAAATAGCCAGTGGAACAAGTGAACAAGTGGAACTAGATAGTTTATTACAACTAGTTAATGTTCTATCTAAAGCAATTCGTCTTATGAGTGACGACGTCAATGAACAAACTGTGTACTTTATGAATTTTACAATTAAAATATGAGTCCACTGTGTCAGTTGAAATGAGTACTACCTTGATAGCGTTGTTCACACCGAGTACTGACATAGTTCATACGTTACAATCATAAATACTCCGGTTAGAAGTTATCAATTGCAAACAAGACATGGACTTTGATGTAGACAAATTGGTTTGTTATTGGCTAGGATTTTTTACTATGCTTTTAAGTTATCATAAACAAGCTGTTTCATTTTATTAACGGTAGTATATGCTTTAGCAAGTACTGTTAGGCCAGTCAATAGTTCATAATATTTTAATAAAAACCAAAGTAATTGAGCGACGGATAAAACATGATATTTTTCGTTTATTTTATCTCATTTAAACTACTTTTTATTCTGATACAAGTCAGTAGAATAAAATGGTCTTCAATCAAAGCTTTCATCAATATTCATGCGAGCTTTTTATTTAAATAAAATAGGTAAGTATCTTGTTTCGTTTTAAGACTGGATTTCAAATCATCTCAAAATTCATTTGATAATCACATGTTACTATCTATTTAGGGAGCGCCGTTTTCATTATTACACAGTAAACAACACTCCCTTAAATCTCAATGATAGGTAATGTCATAGCATAAGTCATAACGAAACATTCGTCAGTCCGTGTCGGTGGAGCGTTTGATTGCGCCGGACGTGGGCACGCCTGACCCGGGGCGGGCGGTGCGGCGCGCCCGCCAGCTCGGTAGTAGTTGAGTATATATTTGAGAGTACGTACAATGTTTGTATACTCAAATTAGGTGATTGCCACGTTATGCACTTCCTTAGTAGGAACAATGACGTTAAAACTTACTAAGAAGAGTACATTCAATCATAATAATACACTTACGAGAGCTATCTATTTAACACAATTAGTCAGTTGATTATTTTGTTTAGATTCTACAAAATTGCACATAATTTAAATTTTAAATTAATATTTATTCAAAGGAATAGTCTTATTTAGTTTTAAATACCTATACTAGCATTTCGGAAATAATGCCTCATTCATATATTATATAGGTACGTACATACATGCATAATCGCATATTGTACATAACATAATATTATGAATACATAATACGACCTATATAACTGATACATTTATTTCTTCATTTTTATTTACACTAGCCTCTTCAAAGTATTATAAATCGCTGATAATTCGCTGATGTAAAAAGGTCTATAAAATACTTTGTAAAATTCAAGTTGAGTATTTTTCGTTTTAAAATCGATTAAAAATTTTATTAAAGATCTTCTAAGACCTAGGTATATTAAGGAACCTTAGCAAGCTTATAAAGCTTTGGAATAGATAACATCGACCCTTTGTTACTTATACGAATGAAACGTTCAAACAAATGACAATATGCAAAACTAATTGGTTACAATTTATTACACGCAGTAGTTCATTCACGACCACCCACGGACCGCCCGCTACTTGTTGATGAGTTCACACTACACACTACACGCGCTCATGTGCAGCTCTGACACAATCGTCACGTGCTATTATTAATTTGAAATGGAAATAATTTTGTCCACTTTTAAAGACATTTGCACTCTCAATTATTATAGCTGAATTTTTATTCTGTTAATTGTTATTATGTCAAAAAATGTCATAATCTGTATTATATTTAGCACAAGTTACAAACAACAGCTTACTTCGCTCTATAAACGTATCACCGACGGGAACTGTTTGGTTTTAGGATGTAGCGGGATAGAAAGTATGTAGTATGTGTATGCATAAATCACATCGATCCGTTGGTCTGTTGCTGCGTTAACAAAAACATTTATCTTCTCTTTTATAATATTGGTCAGATATGAAGATAAATATTATATGAAATAAGTCTTAAAATTATAGATAAATTTTAATGGTAATTTATATTAACTTGAAGAGTACCAAAATTGTTAATTTGATTTAGTTTGTTTAGCAAACGCTAAATCGTTGTTGAGTAAAGTTACGCTTTTATATTCTAAGTTTAGCTGAAATATAAAGTTGCTTAATGGTTCAAGATCCAGTCGCAGTAGCGCGACTGAGAGAAGTCAGTTCATATCCGTACTATCCAGGACAGTGAAACTCGTAAAATCAATTGTCACGCTGTCTCTAGTCTCTAGGTGTCAGCATCACTATGATATTATGCTTTAAGCTAATTGTTTACTGGTGGCATAGCGTGGCATAGCGCTGCCGCTGCAGACGCTGCCTTAGATGTTTATGTTTTTTGTATTTCTGAATTGAAATTGATCACATTTTGGATTCCACGTTCCAACTTCTTTTCTACTAAAAATATTAATTACTAAAAATCAATAACACATTAAAAGGTAATTTGAAAGTGGAAAATATCATGTGGTGAATCTCCTGAATCCATTTTAGTACTAACATCATTTTAAAATAAGTATCTCGTATATGTGTTTGAAATATAAAATAAATGAATAAAAAATACACAAAATATAAAAAATACACAAGATAACTTAAAATTATTCCCTCATTTGAATAATTTTACATAACGCGACAAAATACTGCACTGTTCTGTGGACGATTAGCTTTATCATCTACAAATTACTTGAGAATGCTAATATCGTCAAAATACGGATGTCCAGTAGACGTATTGTTTATACTTTTTAAATTCTTACACGTTATTGACGTCAGTTGTGTTATTTAGGAATTTACTCGTTTGTGTCAACATGCCTTAGCTTTCTCTAGTTCAAAATACTTTAATTACATTTATCAGCATTATGTTTATCTAAATATTTGCATACCTATTATCTACAAGCTCATATAAAAATATACATAAAAATAATACTATTTAGTCAAAAGGTAAGTTACGGTGAAGGTGTTCTAGAGGTTTCTTTCTTAAGTCAAAGATTAGAGCTATAACGCGATGAGGCACATCTATACAGTACGCGTAGAACAATATAATTAGCGATGTCGACGACCTCTCAAAGGACGCCGCGACGAAGCGGCTAATGCCTTACGTTACATATCAATACGTAATAACTTCCTCATTTATCCTTTATTAATAATTATATTGGATTAGCTCATTGTTACTTTCGTAAAAAGGTTTAATGTGTCTTTGTTTGTGTAAAGCTCGATTTTTGGTAAAAAGTTTTTGTTTGTGTTTGGTACAATGTTTTTGTGTTTCTGCTCAGTTCTTTTTAGCATCGCGATTAATATCGGTACGGTCCTTGTCATAATTTACTGAAGTTTCGGAATATTTGTGTATAGTAGGTACCTACTGTTAAATCGGTTTCTAGTTTTCTATCAATGTAATAATTTCATATATTCAGATACTAAAAGGAATACGAATGGATCAAAAAAGGCAACTAAAGATTGCAGAAAGTTTTATAACAACAATTTAATTAAGGAGCAGATGGACCTATGACCAAAAACTATCACCTCAACCTAAACTTACAGATATGCAAAGCACAAGTTATACATGTTTAATAAAATAATTCTACATACTTTCTTAGATTTACGCGAATATTTTAAATAAAACTGTCTTTTTGGATTTTTTCAAGACGAGAGACTGAAGTATCTGCCGTGATTGTTGTAAAGCGCTCGAAACGTCGGGAACAAAAATCAAAATAAATCCGCGCAAAAATCCGTAAAAGTAGTTTTATTTAAAATTTGCATACTTTGTTACACACATCACTTGAGTACGACTGTATGTAATTTATTGAAGCCTTACAACAGACGAATAATTATGTCTGTTGTCGTAGTATCGGGTACGTAACGTATGCACGTCAGCGCTTGCGGCGCGCGGAACCGAACCTAAGCTTGTTATTCAAACTAAATTATTGTAATATGTAATGGCGCTAAATCAGAACTTAACCTAGAGAATACGCAGAAACACAACCATGTACAACAAGTTAACTCTATACATGCAATTATGACACGGTTACAGTATAACTGGTACAGTGGGAAGCAGAACGATGACGGTTGTATACACGTTAAATAATATTCCTTTATTAATGATTCTAGTTTTGAATAACCTGCATTCATATATAAAACCAATCAATGATAAATTGTTATTTATTTTAATTATTAAAATGACCTCTAATTAAAGCATCGAAATTAATTAGAACTAAACGTGGGTATGTTAATCATGAATAATTAACTGTTTTAACCGATAAGTAAATTAGCTAAAATTCAATTAGTGGCATTATCGTCATTTTTGCAGTATTAATCGTACATATTCTTGCTAGTCATTAGTGAAAAATATTTTTGCCATATTAAAATAATTTCATTTTAAGGCGTATTCAAAACAATATCTTTAGGAGTAGCACTCACCGATAGTTTTATTGATCCAGTCAGCTAGATCTTCTTGCAAGGGGAACAGTTGTCTCGCCTGCGAGTACAATATCTTCTCTCTATAGAAGTCCTCGTCGTCGTCACACGGCGTCTGCGCGGCGAGGGCGCAGTCCGCCCTCTCGAAGGAACTGGACATCTTTCTATTGACCACGATGTCGCCGTGCCCTATGTGCCTTTCCTCTTGTTTCCCTTCGAAAGTGTTTCTCACGTACTCGAAGGCGTTGGTTCTTTCGAACGCATTAAAGATCCTGTCATAGTTGATGCGCTCCAGCTTAGACTCCATGGTCACCGACCAGGACGCGCGGCTGCCGATCGCAGTGGGCCCGCAGCGGTAGTAAGCCATGGTGGCTCAAAAATCTGTTAACAAAGAACATTTTTAATTAAACTAATGTGTTAACCATTATAAATTCATTTAATTCTCTTTTAAGTAAAAAAATATACAATAATATGTATATGTACCTATGAAATATGTTCAGTTGTCGAATATTAAGTTGCAGTGCTTTTACGAAGTAATAATTGTACCTATTGAGATATCAGGCTATTTAGTTTATCATATCTAGAAAGCGACAGGCGCCGAGCGCCGACGAGTACGTACGACTTATGGGTTTCACCGCGTATCAATTCTGCTCGTAATTACGGCGCGTCGGCGAGTACTTTAGAAGACGACGTTGCAGCCTTGACTTGGACAAAAGAACTGCCGTAGCATCATGACGGTGGATTTTAAATACCAATATTAACGTACAAGGACCGCCCCAAACTAACGACGAGCTGAAGGTTATTTGTTAAGTACGTAATTAAAAAATAAAACAATTTAAACCGTTACGATGAGTGTCGTTTGAGTATTCCTGACATAGAGTATATTTATTATTCAGAAATATAATGATACTAGCGTAGGTTCGTCTCTAAGAAGGTTTTCACGGTTTGTTTAGATCTCTCAGAGATGAGATATTTTCTAGCAATAAAAAGTATCCTTTATGTTGACATAAAACAACGAACATAAAAATGAGTAATGACAATTTCAATAATATTTTTCAAAAAATATTTAATGTAACAAATTCGACTTAGAATTTTATTATATGTAGAAAAACATTAAATGTGCTCATGTAGTTAAATTAAAAAATTATTAGTATTCATAGTATAAAAAAAGAGTATATGTACACCTACATTTTAAGCTTAAAAGTAAAACCTGTCATCAACCTTCAATGCACTATGACTAGAGAATATCTGGCAATCTTGTTAGCTTTCTTTCACTGTGATTTTATCTTCCTGTTAAATTTATAAAAGATATCAATTCTTCTTTTGAAAAGCGTAAAATCGGTATATTGCAAGCATTTGTCATGGGAACAGTTTAGACCATGATCGCTGTGATCCAGTCTGGTTACGCGAGCCTTGAACCCGCGCCTCGGCGGAGCCACCAGGGTGGCGGCGACTTCACAAGCTGCCCATATATGCCTCGTGAGAACGTGAGTTTAGATTTGATCTGTTTTATAGAGATCGCTTCAAAATTTACGTACTTTTATATAATTGTATGATGTATACGACCTTTTGAATGTTTTTATTGTAAGGACAAATCGTTTCCTTTAATATGTGGGCACTCCCATGGGCAGTCCCATTTCTTAAATGTTAGAAGGATATTATACAAGGAGAAAAGTACTTTTACAGCCAGTTCTTCTCAGGTCTGAGGCTTCTTCTTTCCGAACTGGTAGTAGACTCATGGCGTTCAGTAAAGAATTGTAATAATTTAATGCTGAATAAAATATTTTGAATTTTTGAATTTTACATATAGACATATGTTGATGCAATACAACCTATAAATAATAAAGTGTATACGATGTTCATTTAACTTAGTAATAAATTGTGGCTCTAATGCAGTTAGCAGATTTACATTTGGTATTCCTCTCGAATGATACCACTACTCTATTTTGTCCATTCCGTCGCTTATTGGACCCTACCTTCAAGACAATCTGGACGGAATTCACGCAACCATAGCTACAAATATCAATAAAAAGAATATAAAATCTTGTAAAAGCCTTACGTCAACATACCCTCTTTTATATTCAAATATTTATGGAGATTTACATAGTTTCGTGAGCCCTATTGTTCGAGTACGCCGCAGCGCGTGACCGGCTCGTCGGTACCGCATCGTGTGCTCGTACTGCAATAAAAATGCATACAATACCTATAGGATAGTAGGTAAGGTATACAAATCAGGCACCGCTCGTATCGTAGTGCTGTATTTCGTGCTGTCGGCAGATGAAACGCGTGAAATGGCGATGAGTCGCTCTATCTTGGCTTAGAGATGGATTTTACATATCTAATGTCGGCTGGATTAGGAAGCATACTCGTATATACCTACTTAAAGAATTGATTTAGAAAAAACCTCATGTATGTATTTCAAACGTTCAAAAATAAGAATCTACTTTGAAAAGATTACAAAGATAAAAATGTTACATATTTAATGTTATGAAAGTTCGTCACGAAACTAATTCCAAGGACGCTACTGAAAACGAAGTAAATTACGTTTAAATTGAATAGAATGATACAAAATATCAGGGAAACACGAAATTCATTTTGTAAAAATCGATCCTGAACAGTGAACGGCGAATTTGGTTAGATTTTTTCTAATTGTTGGAATTCTGATCGCTCACTCTTGTTTAATACGTATTTAGTTATTGTTAATACAATGTTATGTAATAATGCGTGTGTTAGTATTATAGAACTAATCAAAAGATTTTATCGAATAATGGTCAATCCATTAAGTGGTAATGGTCAATCACTAAGCAACGTATATCTAATCTTGTACATATATCTATATATATCTAATTTTCATGTCATAAATATTATAGTATATAATATATACTCATAAAATGATTTTGTATAATCTGGACGTTTAAGAATAACAATTCACTTGGGTACTTAGAAATAAGTTACACTAATGTAATGTCAACACTTGCGCCCACGCAGGTGACTATAGTCGTAACTATGCGAAGGGCTCGATCGGAGCGTTGTTAGCAGCTCTTCAACGTCAATCAAAACTACACCAACATTAGAAGGTACATAGTAAAGTCCTTTGTCAATGCTCAAGGTATTTTCTCCCTTTAGTCGATAAAGATAAAGAGCAATTTTGGTTAATGTAGTGGTTTTGGGCATCTATACCGGTCGCCCACGCGATCACGAATAGGTCAAGTTGAGCGCCATACGTCTCAGAATCTCCATTTACGCAAATTGTACTCTGTCCTCACGCTACTGTTTTAAGGGCTATTACGAAACTATTTCATACTTGTGCTGCTTAAGCGGTCACATTTTCGGTTGTTTTAAATATGTAATCTTTTCGACCAATATAAGATTATATTAACTAAGTTTGTTTCGTAAAAGAGTGCTTCAAAGTCAAACCTAAAATGACTAATTTCACTAATTGAATAAATATTAAACTTTAAATGTATCTTTGAGTTATCTTTATATATATAATTCTTCTGTGAGTGTGTATGTCACTGAACTTCTCTCAAACGACTGGACCGATTTTGATGAAATTTTTTGTGTGTGTTCAAGGGGATCTGGGAATGGTTTAGGTTCACAATTTGAATAATAATTTTCATCAAAAAAATTATTAAAAAAAGTTTGAAATTTTCAAATTAAAGACGTGTAGACAGGACAACGTCTGTCGGGTCCGCTAGTTTAATATAATAAATGAGAAAGTTTAGATGGATGGAAGTTTGTTGGTTACTCAATCACGCCAGAACGGCTGAACGGATATGGATGAAATTTGGAATCGACATAGGTTATAGTTTGGAATAGCAAATAGATTACTTTTATCCCGGAAACATGTACGGTTCCCGTGGGATAGATTGGTTTTTGTTTTTTACTAGGGACGCACCCGAGCAAAGCGAGGGTGAATTGCTTGTTATACCAATAAAAGCTAGACATGAATAATAAATGTTTGTCGAAAGTTCAATAAAAACAGCCTATTTTTCTTACATTTCATATCGCTTATAATCCATAACGTGAAGACTCATAAAGGAACCCCTCGAACTCATAATATTATAGATAAATAGCGGGATTATGATCGAGGGTCGTTCTTTCCTCGTGTAAGCCCATCCTTAATACAAACTTTTACTTAAACGCAAGAGAAAATATTTAGGATCATTTGTGATTTTACCCAAACTATATTGAATTAAATATTTATATAACTTACGATAACAGATGACTCAATAATAGTTAAGGAGTATAAATAAGTAAATTCTTCTTCTCCCTGCCCATTTCCCAATCACTTGGGGTCGGCGCAGTACATCCTCTGTACTGCTGAAAGGATTTGGCAAAAGTTTTACGACCGGCCGCCTGCCTGACGTCAACCCTCCTTGGGAATAGTATAAATAAGTAAATAATGATTAAAAATTATAAATTAATAAATTCGACGGATTATCGTTTAAAATCGATATCGTTATTGAAATGAGTAATTAATATTTGTTTTGTTATGGTTTTAATTAATATAAGAAAATCATGTCGGGCAAAAGTGAGCTTTAGTGAATCTCTCATAAACAAGCAAAAAACCATAGCAACCTTCACTGAAATGACACCAGTGAATTCGCCGTAAAATATTGGAATTTAACTTTGATCCTCATTCGAAAAGAAAGAAAATGTAATACAATCTACAGTTGTAAACTATAGTTATCAATATTTAAAATGCGGTAAATATTCTATAGGTAGAATCGATAGACATATTACAGTGTCACACAGACATGTGTCTGGAGTCTGGAACATAAATTTTGTGCTTCATTAGTTTTATTTTGTTTCCCACACTGATCATAATGACGTATATCAGTTATAATAAATGATGATATACGTTCATTTATGGTACGGTATGGTATTTGTATTAATTTAGTTTCTTTTTTATTAGCATGTTTGTCCGCGAGGCAACTGACAGGAGAAGTAACAGAGCAGCGGATGGATGAGTCACTAGTTTCATGAATATAACAACAATGGGTCCGTATGTAGGTAAAGGGACGTCGGCAAAAGTACAGGAGTGCGGGAGTGAATGCGATTATCCAATTAAGGCTAGTCGCCAGCTCGCCAGCTCGCCGCGTCCCCGCGCGGGCCGGCCGGAGCCTCGGGGCAACGCACTCGCATTGTGCTGTGACAAAGCTTATCTTATACGGGAATGAGGAAGTCTTGCAATTATTATACAGTAGCTAGAAACTTTGTGTTACATGAATATGTTTATTTAAATAGGAGTCTGACAGTTTATGGGAAGTAGAAGTAAATTAGGTACACCTTATACTTACATATAGGGACAGTAAGTATTTTATAGATTGTGCTGTTATTTTAATAGATATAGATATATAAGTGATCATAATAATGGTCACATCTTTTACTTTTCATGGCATCCAAAAATGACAAAATATCATCATAATTTAGCAAATTATGTTTGTAAGTTAATATGAATTCTTTATCGACGACAAATCTACGACGGTAAATAGTCAAGGACCACGCGATGAGGTACTTCGGCGGTTGTCATGACGATGATTCGATCAAATTGCTTGAACTACTCCTCCTGGAGAAATTTGAATTATCAAGCTACCACAAAATAGATGTCTTTTTAACTTGTATCTTAGGCAGCAATAATGCATTCATTGTAAAAAGTTCCTGCTATTACTAAATGTGTTTCATATTTTGAATGTAACTTCATCGTTATAAATATCTGTCATAAGAGATAAAAAACGATATACCTAAACGATTCATAATCAAATTAAGGTAACATTCAAACTTTACAATAATAAATATAAGAAAAATGCAATCTATTGTTTGCACGTAGGAGGTTCCTCCTGCTGCCTGTCACCCGTATATTCTTTTCTTATATCGTTCAATAATCCCGGCCAGCGAACTCGGAAAGCTAGTACATATAGAGGATCCGCTTATCCCTAGACCCTCCGCAAATAGGTACTTGTACACCGCATATCTTATGTTAAAATGGGCTTAATATTATATTGCTTCAATTTTGCAATATTATATTACCTACATACAGTATAATAATAAATACGAAATAAAAAACTAATTATAATTTGTATGTCCTCCAAGAATCTAGTCAAAATAATTTGTCTACGACTTAAGCACCTATGTGAACAATATATATAAGCTACGTGTTTATATAAAGTGACTTACATGTAGGTAATATAGAAATAAAACAAATGTTCTTTACCATATTTATTTGAAAATGTTAAATGTTGCAAATATGTAGTAGAAAACAGTATCGCGTAGCCGTATCAGTGTTGCGGTCGAGTACCGCTCCTCAGTCCGAAGCCGCACGCTTTCATTGCGATTGGGTTACTGTGCTGTACTTAGTTATGGTGCTAAGACCATGAATAATATATTTGTACCACATCGAAAGTAGAAATCTTCCAACTATAGCCACTTTATGAGCTATGCAGATATAGAAGAGCTATGAACATTAAGCTCGATAGAGTAAACAAAAGCAGAACTTTTTCTGTTTACCTACTAGAAATTACGAAGTCAAAACAAAGGGCGCAAAATCTAAATGGAGTCGAGCTCGATTTTGTAAAGGTACTCGTGATCTTTAAATAGTTGAAGTAAACACAACATCTCTGGTTTCTCGTAAAAATGGAGTATAAACAGTGCGGCGGAGCGGGCGGAGGGCGGGCGGCCTCGGCGGTGGCGGAGAACTAAGTTTTATTATGTTTGTTTCGGTCGCTTGCGCAAGTTTGCCCGGCGGGAGTGCACAATGGGACGGCGAGCTTACAAAATAAAAGTGAATGTATTTAAGTTTTCCTATTTACGAGTTTCACTGCGCCCCGCCCCAGGACGAGAAATATATATACCGAAAATAAGACGATAAACTTCGCTAACTAAAAGTACACTCAATCAAGATCTTCATTTATGGGTTCAGATTGAAAAGATAGTGGTACAATATTATCTATCATTAATAACGTGAAACTTATTAATAAATAAATGAATATAAAATGAATGGATAATAAATGAATGAATGTATATTACATTTTTAATTACTACTCATGTTAGAATATATAAGAAAAATATCTTTTTCTCTTGCTAGAATTAGGTACATAGGTTTTATATGAAAAAAAAAGACTTATTTTGGAATTACGCTCTAAGCTCATGTATTGAGCCGAGCGGTGCAGCGGAAGTGAGCGCTTCATTGACGGACGCATCAATGGCGCAACACAGCCGCGCGATGTGCGGACTGACACGACAGAAATACTACTACGGGTTCGGTTCACATTCGGCTGTACAATACAAGTTTGTTAATTAAAATCAGATTCGAAATAGTTTGGTATAAAATTCTTTTATTAACAACTAGCATTCGAGTTTATCGCGTACAGACAGACAGGAGGACAGAAAGACGCGGCCGGGGGACTTATTTTTATAATAAGTATAGATTGATATCGCAACCCGTAGAATACTGCATTGTCTATAGGTAGATAGTAGATGGTTGAGAATGCTGAATATGTTCTGCTATACCTATATGTTAACCAGACAGGAATAATTGTCTATCTATACCTATGTAATAAAATTCTAACTGAGTCAAATCGATAAATGAAATATTTTTTGAAAAATCTTATTGAAATAGTCATTATTATCAATATAGAGGACGAAACTATAATTTTTAGAATTTTTATCTGTCTCTCTCTCTCTGTCTATGACCGCATCACGAGAAAACCATTGGATAGACTTTTATGAAATTTAGTATGATGATAGCTGGTTATTCGGTCAAAATATAGGATATTTTTTACTGCGGGTAAATATCTCATCTCTGAGGAGTCTATAATAAACGTGAAAACGTTACTAGAGTAGTTCCTACCCGAGAGAAGCGAGGGTGAGGCGTTTAATACTTGATACTGATCGCCAATAATAACCAATGTATCTGTATATACGTATACATATATGATTTATATAGAGCTAATGTCAAGGAAGGAAAATCACAGATAAATTATTAGGGTCCACAGTAAGATGCTACGACGTGTGATACGCGTGGTTAAAGCTTACGGACGTGGGGAATCATAAAGTGTGCTTTCTAATTTTTTGTGAAAGTGAGATGTCCTATTCAAATAAGGTTTGAGAATATGAAGGCAATAAAACATTATGGTTTCATGATTAACACCTGACAGACACACTGACAATTTATAAATTTTCAGTGATAGAAGTAATTTTGTAGCTTCTATAAAATTATATCATTATTATTTAATTCTTAAGTTCGAAGATATAATATTATTCATTATTTGGTTAAAAAAATACATGAATAAAAAACACGAAGTAAAACAAGTAGAAAGTGTAAATTTTATGTTAATTAATTAACAAATTTTGCGGAGCTCCTCGCCAAATTATATATTTTCGTGATTTTTCTGGTCACTATAGTTACGGTTTCATTTAAATTATAAAGAATTGGTTCAGCAAAGAAAACTCAACGTTGAAGTACCGCGTCTCGTGAAACGTGAATAATTAGTGCGTAAATGCAATTAGTGAGTGTAAGAAATTTCGGTGTTTCCGCGACGCTCGCCGCCGGAAAGAGGTCGCGATTATCTAAGTCGAATAAGTGGCGAGAAGACGGAAAGCTTGCTTTGTTTAATGCGAATGAATGTTATAGAAATATCTAATCATTAAGTTTAGTTTGTTATTAAAAAACATTAAAATGAAATATGTGCTTATTTATTTACAAAAGACATTATTTCCCAATCCCTTACGGATGCGAAGTATATATATACATATGTATGTGGGTACTTAATGTAATCTGCGTTTAATACGCTTTGCGAAATCGGGTCTTGAGCGCTCCTTCGACTCATATATTCTAGACGAAAACTTAAAACCTAAGGCACAATAAAGATTTTCTTCTTTGTTAAAAATTAGCTTTTCCTGCGGCTTCGCTTGCGTAGTCTATTAATGTATAATTATTTCGATGATTAGAGTCGTAGCGCGATGTTAGCCTTGTAACCTTCCTCAAGAATTGGCTTTTAAAAACCAAAAATAATTTTTAGTGTAAATTTCTTTTAATTTTTTATTATTAAAGCATCTAATTATGTTCGTACGACATTTTTGTCTCTCCAGCTCTTTTGTATTTGTATAACGCACTAATTTACATACTAACTAACATAAATGTTACGTTATGCATAATTAAGAAAATAATGAAATCTTGACATCCATTTCCCATGTACGTATATTTTTAGGCGTAACTCTTCGTAAAGATTGACCGATTAAAATTATGCAATATGCGGAGACCACACAACTTGGCAGGTTTATTAGCGCGGCTTTGTGTCGGCTGTTCGGGAAACGGTCCATCAAACAGTTACTGCCCTCTTCAATTGAATCATCTCTTAGACGAATGCCTCACGTTGACGGAGCAGTTAACTCAATTTGAAAGGATAATAGTCTCTAATCGAATTCAATAATGGCTCTATTGAAGATTTGTTTTCATGTAGGTACCTACTGTTTAGTTTAAGATAATGGTAACGTGCTCGCTTGGGAAACCAAGTGAAGCGAGTTCAAATCCCGGGTCTCGCGCTTCTGATATTTTCATGTACGAATCATTTCCAACATGATTACCACGTGTCTTACAGCGTGGTGGACTATAGCCTGATTCCCCTCGTATTGAAGGGTGGCCCGTGCCCAGCAGTGGACGATAAAAAGGGCTGAATACAATACAACATACTCTTTATGTTTCAAAACCTGGTTTTATTTTAAATATCAACTTGTTGCTTGTCTCTATGAGTAAGTACATGTCTATTGACCTTTACGAAAAAAATGAAATTAAACCAGGATTTTATTACTAATTTTATTTTACAATATCACATTTGACTGTGTCGTGGAGTAACCTGGGGAATTTGATTAAAGATTTCGCTGAAAGATTTGTAATAATCAGTTTATTTTTGATAAATATGAATAAAACGCTAATCTATTACTATACATATACGTACGTAGGTATATTATTTTCCTCATACACTGTACAACTTTGGTAAACTTTTTCTATAGAATCATGTCAAAATGGCCATAAATGCTGAGCACGAGCTGTATTTATTTAGTTTATTTGGTCACATGGAAAACAGAACGAGGGATCTATGGCTCTGCATACTAAAGTATGCCTACTTGTTATGGGGCCTTTGATGTCGGCTGTGGGCGCCGGGCGCCGGGCGGCGGGCGGCGCGGCGCGGCGCGGCGGTACACTTTTGTTATCATACTTCTGGCAAAGCCGCCAACTTCTTTTATGAGATAAATTGAAAAATTAAGCACAGAATATCATCATTTAGACGAATTAGTACCGGATTTCGCTGGTTTTGCCTATTGTGCTAAGGAACAAAGCATGCATAACGAATGTTATATGGACTTCATACACTGTGATGTTTTTGTCAATCTTGTAATAATTACTGTATAAAATTAACATTTTTTTATTTTAAACAATGAATATCAAGGAATTCAGTTTGTAATTAGAGTTTTGTATTGACATGTAATTATTCTGGCTTTGTGTAATGTGTTCAATGGATATTGGATACATCACACCGCTGGTTCGTACATTCAGACGAAGTCGCAAAACGTATAGTAGATGTATTATAAAATGTTACGCCATCAGATGATAGCATGTGGGTTAGTTTTTCTACACATGTTAACGCGCCACGTCGTTATTTATTGGCAGGACTTTTTATACGCGAGGATGGCCCTCGGTCCCTAAACAGATGGCGGTTTTTTTATCGTTATATTCACTTCATATTCATTTATAATTAAGTTAAGGCCTCTGTCACCTTTGGCTTTGATGTTTATGTATTTTGATCTAATTTTGATCTTTATACCTTAAAATAATTATCTAGTAAGTTTTAGTAGGAATTCTTTTTGTCTTTCTATTCGAGTCTATATCGATTTTAGGATTGTAATAAGGTGTTATTACAATGTAAGACGGATGTGACATAAGATATGAACTATATAGAAATTCGGATTTTCTGAAGTAAATTTTCTATTTTTATTTATATTTTATACATATTTAAATTACACAACAACCAAACTTTTTATATAATTGATATGGTAATCTTTTTATTCTATTTCACATTCAAACTAGTTTCTTTGCCACACATACAAAGTCTTTGTCATACGTTTGGCTCAGTTTGTAGTGACCCTACTTGCTGTGCCAGCGGTCGCGGGTTCGAGTCCCGCTGAGGGCATTCATTTGTGTGATGAGTACGAATGTTTGTACTCCAGTCATGGGTGTTTATATTTATAATATGTATTATATATGTATTTAAAGTTATATATGTATAGTGTCTATTCTGTATATCTGGTATTCTATGTATATCTGGTATCCATAACACAAGCCTCGTAGCTTACCATGGAACTAGATGGCGCTCTGTGTTACTGTATAAAAAAGTCCACCTTTTATACCTACACAAACGAGGGAAAACAGTTCCTGTGGGAGGAAAACTCGTACCCATTTACATCTATAATAAATAATTGTTGTATTATTATATTGTATTACTATATTGTATTTATTGTACGTATAATTTTTTATACAAACGTATACGTACAAACGTATAATTACATTCATTTTTTATTATGTATAGAAATTAGAAATTATAAAGATATAAAATGAATATATATGAAAAGTTTGAAAAGGCAGTTTTCTTTTTTCGCTCGATGTCTGCACATAAGTGGTTCTCGTTCCGAATAGAAACCTGCATTGATAAATGTAGAGCTGCGATGCACAGATAGCGCCGGCCGCCAGCCGCCGTTAATTTGCTCACATTCGCTCGGTGAGGGAAATTATTCGAGATATCTGAGAACCAGACATTTCTTTATCATCTCAACTATAAAAATATGTCTTTATTTATAACTGCTCTTAAAACGAATTAAGAGGTTTTTTTTAAATAACCTTAGAAATTAATGTATCACGTCGCGGAGTCGAACCCGTGATATCTTTTGTAGCAGATACTAGATGATGCTATTCGGACATACTCGTACGTCTCGGGTCTCGCAGCGCTACAACGATCCATCAAAATAAACAACGTGAGTAAATGATTTTGAAGTAGTATTAGGTCAACGTGACAAGGCTCTAACGTGACTGCAGTGCTCAAACAACAATACGCAATAAAGAGTTCATTGTTTTGCGTCTGCTCCCGGAGCTACTCTACATGCTAATGTATGGCAAGCGCGCCGCACCGGACAGACAGCAGGCCGGCCATGTAACAATTTATTAATAAACATCGATTAACTTAAAGGTCGACCACACTGCTTCAACGTCAACTAAATACTCGTATATCCTAATAACCGGACGAGAGTGTGAAGGCATTCTTTTCTTTGTGGTATTGCAATAAGGATATGCTTTCAAAATTTTGAATCCCTTAGATTAGCTGTGTAACCTAGACGTTGGTGAAGAAGCAGAAGGTTATATGTAGGTATATCATTAATTAATGTCCCAAACATAATATAATATAATAATAACATAAATATATTGAATATACAATTTTGGCTGACCCTATGGATACAGTAAAATATGTCTTACTATTAATGTATGACTGATATTATTTTTATTAGTCCGGCTACTGATAATTAAAAAATATATTTTTTATATTTTTACTTTACAATAAGGATAAGAGAAAAAGATGGGTATTTAGAAATCTAGGGCCGCCATCTTTAATTTAGGGGTTTCGAAAGAGACACAAAATATATATATTTATCTTGTTCTCATTCTTTCAAAAATTGGAGCGTATCGTCAAAAAAAAATACATTTGACACTTGCCATTTTGTTGAGACTGTCCAACACCTATAATTTGCGAGTTAAAACTGACAACAAATCTAAAATGACATATTAAAGCCATTAAGATATTGGGATTATTCAGTTTGAAATAAAAAAAGACCTTCCGAGAAAACTTTCACAACTTACGTTATCCAAATCGGGTCTGGCACATAATCGAAAATTAAAACATACAAATAAATAATCTTTTATCCAGATGCTTTAAATAAAAAAAAAAAAAAAAAACAAAATATAATATGTGCTAATCGTACATTAACTGTATTATAGTCACTTTCGACAACTTTAAATCTAGCGTAATCCTCGTATGTATCTTTAAGTTAAAATGCTTAATCGCTTTAATTGCTTTTTGTAACATTAATTAACGAATATAACATATGGTTGTGTAGTGTTGCCGGAGCGCTCGGCGGATAACAACTAAGTGGTATCTGCAAGGTCATCGTGCATGATTATAATAGCGATATCATTATGTAATTAATTAAATGTTTTCTCTGTGTTATATAAAATACTAAAGTTACTCATTAGTGGCGGAAAATTTGTTTGCTTCGTACCTTACTTCCTGACTACAGATTAAAGATATATTATTCAGTAGTTGCTAACTCCTCCTTATGGTTTTAAATGACAAGCTTATTTGAAACTAAAAAAAGACATAATTAAGTACCCAAGAAAAATAATCCAATTAACTTGAGGCAAAATCGAACTCGTGACCACTGGCATCAGTCAGACAAACTACAGTACAATTTTAAAAGGTTTAAATTGAAGTAAAAGCAGCCATTTTTTGAAAAATAAATTGTTGTATATGTTTACACAATGTGACTTAGTTTTTGTTTAATTATAATAATCTGCGTACACAAATGCTGGTTAGATTCGAGGCAATCCGTCGCTTTGCTGTCGCTTTCGGTTCCAGTTTGCTTGCATTGCTCTAGCATTTTGTTTCGCGGCAACACACAACACGCTATATTTTCTAATTTAATTACACTTTCCTTATATGGCGCAAATGAGCAACTAACCGCGGCGACTACGCGCCGTTACGAAGTGTTATTGTTCGGGAGGTAATTTTGGATTAATTGCAGACGTTGTGAGTTTAAGCAAATATTTCTATATAGAACCAGAGAAATCCACGTTTAGTTGTAGAATAAATAAAATGAGGACACTATATTATTTTAAAATGTATGAAGTAGTTACGTAGTTCTAGCATGTTCATGTAAAGTTGTATCCTTTTTGTATCTAAATCCTTTTTCATAATATAAAGGGAGCCATTGAGAAAAAGATGTTGTGTCTGGATACCCTTACCCTTTCCCGAAAGAAAGATAGCCTGCTGAGCGCAATTTTTATCTAAAATATTGTATAATACTTTCTTAGATTTACGCGAATGTTTGACATTATTAAATAAAACTATCTTTTCGGATTATTTCGCGGATTTATTTTGATTTTTGGTTCCCGACGTTTCGAATGCTTTACAGCATCCATGGTCACGGGAGAGACTGAGGTGTTACATGTCTTAAAGATATAGTTGTTACAGACAGCCTACCTACAATTAACAAAATGAAAATTGCACCAATTACATTACACTATTTTTAACTTTAAACATTTTTAAACATTTTTATCATTTTAATTATAATTGAATATGGAAAATTATTTATTTAATTTTTGCTATTATTTTTATAATTATTACAATTTTAAAATATTAATTAGTAATCTATATTTAGTGTTGCCATTATTATATTTATAACCATAAATAAAAATATAAAAATATAGTATTAATTATTAAAGCCATATAATTGTTCTATGTGTAATTTAAAAAAGTTAAAATTAATTAAGGATAATCATTTTAATTTAGTTTGCTATTATTTAAAAAACAACTTACTAAGCAACACTATTAATATATACTTTTACAAATGAAAAATATTAATCTGATAAGCTGTCATTTTGATCTACACAGTATGAACTTACTACATCTGCCTGTCTGTTATGTTTATATTTATTATTTGATTTTATTATATTAATAACAGGATCCCATGACGATGGTAGTACCCAGCCATCTCCCCTATTGAAATTTGGAAGTTTTTTAATTTCTATGGCTTCTCGAATCATTCTAGGGCGATATCGGTTTTCTTTCGCCGGGATTTGAGGTCTATCGAAACGAATATAATGGCTTGGGCGGTCCTGGCTATGTTACATGCAGGATGATATGATGCAGGAGTCTACAAGCTTGATTGTGATTGTGGGCTCTCTTACATTGGACAAACAAAGCGATCCATTAGAACCCGGGTCAAAGAACACATAGCTGATGTGAAGCACCGTCGCAATACAACATCTGCTGTCTGCAAACATAGCCAGGACCGCCCAAGCCATTATATTCGTTTCGATAGACCTCAAATCCTGGCGAAAGAAAACCGATATCGCCCTAGAATGATTCGAGAAGCCATAGAAATTAAAAAACATCCAAATTTCAATAGGGAAGATGGCTGG